GATACCTTCTTATTAGTCAAGTGATTGATGTGAGATAATTGCTTTGTGAAAGATAGCAGCCACAAATAAGAGCCTCCTTATTTTCACCAGCTTAGCACTCTTTCATAATACAACACCAGCATGTTACTTCTCAAATGTTATTATTCACACTTTGTTTTAGAACTGAACCATCACGTAAGAAAAGAACAAAGGTGGCAGGGAGATATCAAGAACGGTAGTAATATAGGAAAATATAGTATTCAGTAGGCAGAGGGGGAAAGATTAGGACCTGAGTTTCCTCAGTGTGGAAAAACATATATTTTGGAACAATGCTGGGATGGTCTGTCCACAGCAGGAAAACTCCTTCAAGTTTGAGTTTTCTCTTAAGAATGTAACAAACACCACCTACTCCCCCCATGTTTCCCTCAGGAATTTGACAAAAGACCTGACTAAAAATAAAAATAAGTAGACCATAAAAAGTATGACCCACAAGGAATGATGTAGCCATAGACCACCCCTCATACAATGGAAATAAGCCAGTCAGAAATGGACACCCCAGCACCTAGAGTTATCAATCCAGTAAGGGTAAGACGTGAGGAGGAAAAGGGGAAGAGGGGAGGGTGGGGACCAGAACCTTATAAAACAAGGACCCTTATCTATAGTCTGCAGGCATTCACTTTTATATGTCCCCTCTCTGTAAAGAGAGCTTTCCAAATATTCTTACCTTTTTAAAATTTTTTTTTCAATGTTTATTTATTTTTGAGAAAGAGAGAGACATAGTGTGAGCTAGGGAGGGGCAGAGAGAAAGCGAGACACAGAATTCGAAGCAGGCTCCAGGCTCTGAGCTGTCAGCACAGAGCCTGACACGGGGCTCGAACCCACGAGCTGTGAGATCATGACCTGAGCTGAAGTTGGATGCTTAACAGACTGAGCCACCCAGGCATCTCTGTATCGATAACTATTATCTGTCATCTATCTTCAGCATTATCCTTAAGAGTAGGAGAAATTATGGTCTTAAATTCTGTAAAGAATTTCTTCAAAATAAGTTTTACTATTTTTATATACAATATATTCACAGTGGGTCTTCTGATTTCTTTTTTTTCCATTCAGTTTCTATTGGTTCTTTATGACACCTTGCCCCACCTGGACACTCATGTTAAAAAACTCTGGAATGTTCTGACAATCATTCTGTATGGACTTGTCCAGCATTAAACACTAAAGTTACCAAAAGTAATTTGGTAATTTCTTCCCATGTGGCATGGAACTGTTGTCAAGTAATGAAATTCTGTTTAGACCCAGCCCACTAAAAACTCGTAACATTTTGTTTCGATAATATTCTAGTTAGGGTTTGGAAAAACTTATGGTCATCGATCAATGTATCTAAAATAACTTTAAACCTAGAACACAAAAAACAATATTTAAATTCTTATATTAATATTGTTAATAATAAACTAGAATTTATTGAGTATTTACTGGTGTCGGTGTTCTAAGTGCTTTGCATGCATTATCCCATTTAACTCTCACAATGGAAAGGATGATGATGATGATGGTGATGATGATGATGATAAATGTGCATCTACAACCATAGAGGTTTAGAAATAACAAACAAATAGTTCAAGGTCACACAACTAGTAGCTGCAAGAGCTAGGACTCCAATTCAGTTCTATTGGGTCCTAAAGTTAGTTGCTTACTATTATTTTATATCAAAGGTCTTCATACAAAGTCCCTACCATAGTGCATTGTAAAAAAGTTGGCACTAAACCTGGCTTTCGCTAAATGCCACAGCTGTGTAAGTATGAAATAAATATATCTAAATAAACATAAAGATACTGAAGACAACAATGTAAAAGGATGAAGAAAAGACTATTACTGAGTAGGAAGATGCACATACAATAATTATTATTTATGTTTTTAATGAAAAGCCAACAGCATAATTGCCCCACCTCTCCTGCTTTTCACCCAAGAAGTCCTTGAAATCATATAATAGATTCTATACATTTTTAAAAGAGTAAACCAATAATCATGAAAAACCAGATAATATGCAAGCGGTAGATCCAATATTTCAAGAAAATCTTGGAAAATAGGAGGTAGATGGGGTAAGATTCACCGATAAGAAAGAGCAGAGGAAATGACAACCAAACCACATCATGGAAGATTCTGAGATAATCTCAAATGATGTGAACCATCAAATGCAGGACGGGTTTGCCAAGGATATTCTTTAGCATTTTTAAGATCTTTATTCTGAGAAGCTGCCCATGGGCATCATGGGCAGTCTTTACTCTCAGTCTCTCTCAGACATTTTCTTTTTTCTTTTTTTTTTTTTTAATGTTTTATTTATTTCTAGGAGATAGAGAGAGAGACAGTGTGAGCAGGGGAGGGTCAGAGAGAGAGGGAGTCACAGACTGAAACAGGCTCCAGGCTCTGAGCTGGCAGTCAGCACAGAGCCCGACGCGGGGCTCGAACCCATGAACCGCGAGATCATGACCTAAGCGAAAGTCGGACGCTTAACCGACTAAGCCACCAAGGCGCCCCTCTCTCATGCATTTTCTAACCACAGTGATCTACCTGCTAAGGCAGAACTCCTATGGTAATAGGCAAGACTGGAGATTTTCAAGAAACGATGTAACTTCAGACCCCCACGAAGACAGCTGAGGCAGAAACAAAGAGAGAAGACACAGATCCGACTCAGGCTCCAGGCAGAAGTGGTGACTCTTTCAGGATCAAGACCTCTGACATGGCAGGCTCTCGCTAGAGAGAGAAAGTAGAGGAGCCCCCAAACTCTTGAGCCTAAGAGGGGTGCACAATTATCGTAGGTAGGATACAATTAACTGCACAGTCTCCTTCTTCATAATCGTGCAGAGTTTTCAGCTATAGTAAGAACTGAGTATTCAATATCTTCAATAAAAATGTGCAGTGAACACAAAGAATATTTTTAAATATTAAAATAACATTTTTAAAAAGAAACAAAACAAACATGATTGAAAATTGACTTAGTGAACTGGAAGGTCTAATTGAAATTTTCTAACTTAATGCTATGTCAAGGGCAAGGGGTAGACTATATTAAAGAAATATAGTCTTTAATATTAAGAAAACATAGATTGGGGTGCCTGGTGGCTCAGTTGGTTGAGTGTTCGACTTCGGCCCTGGTCATGATCTCACAGTTTGTGAGTTCAAGCCCCACATTGGGCTCTGTGCTGACAGCTCAGAGCCAGGAGCCTTCTTCGAATTCTGTCTCTCTCTCTCTCTCTCTGCCCCTCCCCTGCTCGCATTCTGTCTCTCTTTCTGTCTCAAAAATAAGTAAACATTAAAAATTTAAAAAAAGAAAACATAGAAAAAAATGAAAAGATCCATATGCCCCAAGATACATATAAGAGAAGTAAAAATAAATAACAGAAAGAATGAACAGAGAGAATAATAAAGATATGGCTGAATAAATTTCTCAGAGTTGTGGAAACACACTCTTCTTAAAATGGAAAGGACTAACAATGGCTTCAAGCAGAAAAAGAAAAAGCAAAACAGCTCAATATATTTTAATGAGACAAATTTAGACATATCCTTCTCAAGTTTCAAACACCAAAAATAAATAGAAATAAAAACAACAACAGAAAATCCTCAACATAGAGTTTTTCGTCATTACTAAAAGACAATGACAAACAGAAAGAGAATTATTTTAAATCTGTCATCCTATGCAGGAAAAACTAACATTCCAGTACAAAGACTAAATAAGAGATATTTTCTGAAATATGTTTTGCAAAACTTATTGATAAATTGAAGATAACAAAAATTAAACCCCCCTAAATGTGGGATGCAAGACACATTATTGAGGGAAATAAAAATACTATATTTTAAATAATCATTTATAATTTTCATATATAAGATGGAAGAAATCCATATATTCCAAGCTTTTAACTTATATACAGATGCTATTATTAAAATATAATTCCCTGAAATTAACAGGTTGGGCTATTTTTTCACTTTGTTCCAAATGGTCAGAAGTTTGTTACTAGAGTTCTTCAATAACTCAGTATTATCCAGTGTCTGTTATATGCATAGTAACATGTTAAGCTCACATTTTGTGCCAACACCTATGATTGACTTTCCTTTTATTGTATTATAAACTGAAACAATCTACTGATTTTAACATGCACTAATAAATGTGGAGACTACTCCATGTTGTTGTGAATAGCAGAATTTCTTCTTTTTTTTTGTGGCTGAATAGCTCTTCATTGCATATATGTAAGTATGTATATACATATACACATATGTATATATTTAAAGATACATATAAGTATATATATAACATATATTTAAGTATATATATAACATATATTTAGGTATATAACTTACATATAACTTATATACTTATATATTTAAGTTATATATATATATAACATATATATATAAATATATATATGATATGTATATATATATAAAACTTCTTTATTCATTCATCCATTGATGACCACTTACATAGTTTCCATATCTTGGCTATTATAAATAATGCTGCTAATAAACATGGGGGTGCAAATATCTTTTGAGTTAGTATTTTCATTTCCTTTGGATATAGTCCCAGAGGTAGAATTGCTGGATCATATGATAGTTCTATTTTTAATATTTTAAGGATACTTTATACTATTTTTCATAGTGGCTATACCAATTTCCATTCCCATCAACTGGGTTGCTTTTTCTCCGTGTCCAGACCAGCATTTGTTATTTCTTGTCTTTTTAATGATGGCCATTCTAACAGGTGCAAGGGGTTATTTATTTCATTGTGGTTTTAATTTGTATTTTCTTAATGACTAGTGATGTTGAGCATCTTTTTATGTACCTGTTGGATTTTCATTATGTCTTCTTTGGAGAAATGTCTATTCATGTCACTTGCACATTTTTTAACTGGGTTATTTGTGTTTTTTGCTATTGAGTCATATGAATAATTTATGTTTTATATGTTTTAGATGTTAACTCCATATCAGATATATGGCTTACAAGTATGTTTTCTCATTCCATAGGTTGTCTTTTTGCTTTGTTGATAGTTTCTTTTGCTATGCAGAAGCATTTTTAGTTTGCTGTAGTCCCACTTGCATATTTTTGATTTTGTTGCTTGTTGTTATCATTAATAAGAATTATATCGAGGAGCTTTGTTCCTATGTTTTCATCTGTGACTTTCATTGTTTCTTGTCATACATTTAAGTCTTTAATCCATTCCAAGTTTTCACCAGCCCTCTAGTCAGATGGGGCTGAAAAGGACTCCCCAGAGTAGGTGGGGCAGTGTCTCAATTGCCTTTCCTGGATGGGAGGGGGAGGGCCACTCCAGCCTACACTCAGTCTTACTCTCTCTTTATTTGGAAACGTCCGGGAGTTATCCTTAGACGTGTGAATGAATTCATTCCCCAGCCTGTGTGTAGCCTGCATGCCCACTACTGGCTTTGTTCTGGGGGCTCTCTGCTCTGTCTGTACTTCTGTTGGCTCTAGCACCACGGGGCACACAGCCTCTGGGAGCTGGCACTAACCCTTCAGGTCAGATAAGGCTAAAGGCATTCTCTCACGGTGGATGGGACTGTGTCTCCTTATTTGGACATGAACAAACTGGGTTCCAAGGCCGGCAAAACTCCTCATTTGCGATCCCCCATATCACTCATATCTGTACCCCACTAAGTGCCATGCTCAGATTGTGCTCCCCACTTAGTTCTGCAGGTGAGTAAAACCACTTACTGGGATTACTACTTGGGCACTACAGGTATGAACTCTGTCTGCAAATCTGTGTGCTGGTTGTTGCAAGCAGCTTTCCCTTTCTCCATCACAAGAGCAGCCCCTCAGATTCCTCTGCAATCCCTGTGGTATGAGATCAGAGTAAGGGCTCCTACATATTGACCCACAGGTCTGGAGTCTGGGGAGCTGGTTGTTGCCCCATGGGCTCCCTTTTAACACTTGAGGAACTGAAGACTCAGGAGAACCCTGTCCACATGATGCCATACTATCCTGGGGAGGGGGCAATGTGGTCAACATGTAGCCCCTTCTCCTGCCCTTCTAATGCAGTCTGTCTTGGTCTTTGAGGTGCAGGAATTTGATTCAGCCTCACTGTATGCTCTAGGATTTTCTCAGTGGTGTCTTGTTCTTGAATAGATATTAGCTGTTTCTCTCATGAGGGGGAGAGAAGTTAGGAACAACCTATTGTCACCATCTTGGTGACGTCAAGGTCTCATGATCTCTTAATAAACTGTTATAGTAGCAGCCAGATATGTTGATATTCTTATGATACAAATGAGAAAACAAATAAATGCTGACAATTTTGCTTAGCTTTTTCCCTGCTAGGGCAGGGGAGCAAATGCATAGCTACCTTAACTACTAAATATAATATTCAGTCTCAAACATCTATTTGGCCTGGCCAGACAATTCAGGGAAGTGGGGAGCCCTTCCCACAGTCTCCACTGGGCAAGGAACCAAGCCAGCAGTCTTGTACAACTGTTCTCAGGCCGTGGCACACTCACCCATCCCCATCTTTGGAGTTGAAACAGTTGGTTTCCTCAATAAATGGTGCTTGGATAATTGGATGTTCATACGTTAAAGAAGGAAAGTGGACCACTACCTATGCCACTCCGAAAAATTACCTTGAAATGGCTTAAAAGCTTAAATGTATGTCCTGAAATAATGAAACTGATGGATAAAAAGACAGGTAAAAAAGCTACTTGATAGGAGTCTTGTTTATGATTTTTTGGATAGGATACCTAAACCACAAGCAACCAATTTGCTGATTACTTTTTCTTCAGTTTGTTGAAAGACACATTTTCTTGAGAATAAAATTCTACAGAAAATATTTCCCTTTATATCATGTATATATATCTACATTTAACAATTTTAAAAACATATTTTATAACCATTAAAAATTACAGAAATCATCAGCCTGTTTGATACTATTATACTTTAAAAATATCTTCTATCTAATGTATTATACTTATTTAAAGTTCTTGTGCTCCTAGGGATTTGAGATAAAGACGGATAGTTCAGAGGAAAGAGAGAAATACATGAGTACTGGATTTGAAAAAGAAATCTAAGAAACTTATCGATAACAGAATAAAGGTTCACTAGCTTTTTCTCCTCTGGTTATCTTTGCATGACAGAAATTAATATCAAGAAACTTCAAGCAAACAATTCCATGGAGAATATGATTGTCTTATATTTGATTCGTGCTTATCATCTAGAACAGTGCACAGAAATATAAAATGTGTTTAAATAAATGAGTAACTCAATATTTGCCTAAATGAATTCATACATAAGTTGATGGCCACAAACCCAGGAGATAAAATAACTTACCTTTGATTCCTAATATGTGCAATGAAAGAATTCTTTAGAAAAGATTTACTGCATGCCATACACTATATATAAGGTACTAAACATCAGGACACAACATTGAATAAGCCAGAAATCACCCCTGCCTTCAAGATGTAAACATCTTAGGAAAAGTGAAACTTAAAAAAAAAAGAATTAAAAAAATAAGCTAAATACCAGCATAAGTGAAGGCTAGTTTGGAGGCACAGAAAGAGTATGAAACTTGAACAAACGTGAATGATAAATAAGAGTCAGTGAGGGCAATAAGGATGGGGACACAGTAGAGGGTAAACAGAACAGGTGAGAGAACTTTTTCCCTTAAAGTCACCACAATCTTCTCAGATTCACAGCCAGGTTTCTGGATTTTTTTTTTTTTTCTTAATACTTCAACTAAGAAGTTAGCCATGGAGTCTATACATTCCATTATGTCAATTGTCTGTAACCAATTTTAAAAAAATTCTTCTTACAGTGCCTTAAGTTTGATAGTTCTCATTCTGTCTTGGGTTATTCTAATAGTTGCTGATCTTGCCTTCCCACTCTAACAGAACCTTCCCAGTGCCTTGCCATTAATGATTAATGTCTTTTTCCTAGAAAACTATGCCAATCATATATCACTGGTCTTTCAGATAGTGTCGTGGATCCACACATTAACATCCCTACCATAGCAACCACAACTGCTATTACGTGACACTAACTGCCCTTTCTACTCTCTTTTCTTTTTACCAATCTTCCCCATGAAACCTCTGTTACAGTTACCTTGGAAAAAGAATGCTCTGTGCCACCCTTCTTATAATATTGTCTCAATTTTATATTAGTTTCCAATATTCTCTGTAATTTACTCATCTATTAAAGAATGTGGTGAGTGTCTAAACTCTACAAGGATCTATATTTGGAATTAAAGACATTAAGTGTTAAGACGCGTCACTACCATAAAAGAAACATCACGTGAGAGATGACGACAAGTAAACCAAAAACAATAATGCAATACAATATTTCAACAGTTTGTTTTTTTTATCTTTGCAAACTTAGTAAAATTTCGTATGCACTGAAACCTTTCTTGAAGTCTTGGGTTAAAGTAAATTTTCTCCCTTTTTCTGCTTTGACATTTTGTTTATATCTCCATGAGGATACTTAATTCTTTTTTTGTATTAAAATTAGTTTATTCAATTATTCAGTAAATATTTTACTGTCTAGTGTGTGCTGCATGTTTCCTGTGTGCCCCCTACTGGCTTATAAATTCGTTTAGAACAAAATTTTATGTTTTATTATTTCATTAATATCAATTTTTCTAAGTTTTTAAGGAACAGGTGTAGGTCACTGTTTTTATAGTTACTTAATACTATATAGGTTCCCTAAAAGTGCTTTAGTTTATTACACAAAGGTTGATAATTGTGTTTACATTATCATTTGGTTTGAAATATTTTATTATACATATTGTAGAACTCTTATTCGAGTCATGGGTTATGTAGGACGTACCTTTTTAAAATTTCTGGATATTTAGATATTTTTGTTGATACTGATTTCTAATATAATTACTATCAGAGAAAATTCCCTGTCAGGCTTCAATCTTTTAAAAATTGCTGATGCTTATTTTACCGCCAGGTATATTACTTCTCTTGGCCAAAACTCAACGCATCCGGGAAAGTCATATTTTAGTGTTACTGGTTGTAATGTTCCACCTTACATGTCAATTAGGTCAGGTTGCTTGCTGGGTTGTGTTGTCTAAACCCTGAATACTTTATTCTCTTTATTCACTTAGTTGTTCTATCAGTTACTAGAAGAAGAATGCTAAGATCCTACACAATAAAGATGAATTTGTCTATTACTTCCCTTAGCTCCACTTTTATTTTTCTCATGTGATAGATGCATATATATCTAGCGTTGTCAGTTCTTCCTGGACAATTGTTTTTTTATTGTTATGTACAGTCCTTCATTCTTTTGTAGGACTCTTTATGTCCCTTTTTTTCTGATATTAATATAGTCATGCTCCTTTCTTGCTTACTGGATGCATGATGCATCTCGTTTTATAACATACGTTAAATGTACATCACATAGGGGCGCCTGGGTGGCTTAGTGGTTAAGCGTCCGACTTTCGCTTAGGTCATGATGTCGCGGTTCGTGGGTTCGAGCCCCGCGTCGGTCTCTGTGCTGACTGCCAGCTCGGAGCCTGGAGCCTGTTTCAGTCTGCGACTCCCTCTCTCTCTGACCCTCCCCTGCTCACTCTGTCTCTCTCTCTCTCCTAGAAATATATAAAAATATTTTTAAAAATGTACATCACATAAATAACAGTGCTTCTCGCTTTTTTAATAGTCTGTTAGTTCTGCCTTTGAATGGTTTTGAATTTACCATCCTACTATTTGTTTTCCATTTGCCCCTTCTGATTTGTCATCCTTTTTCTTTCTTCTCTGTCTCCTTTGGTTTCATTGAAATTTTTATCACTTCCTTTTATTTCACTCGTTATCTTATTAGATATCACTTGTTTTGCTAGTATTTATTTCAGTGGTCACTCTAAGGCTAACTATGTATCCTTATCTGACCAAAATACATTAATAGCCAATATTGTTCCTCTGAACTCTTTCCACTTCCTGCTTTGCACCTGACACTTTATACAGTCTATTTCACCCTTGCTTCTTATGGATTCACACTTTGCATTTCTCTCTGCCCACTTTTCATTTCCTGCTTTACAAATGTATTAACCTTACAACAATATAATTCAACTTAGCCATAGATTTCATCACCAGGCCATTATAATTACAAGATTTATAATTCCATTATCTGATTGTTGTCATATCTCTTATTTCTTCCTACATTATCAACGCACATCTCACAGTGTTATTTACTTTAATCAGCCAGTTTTTAAGTAAAGTAAGATAAGAAAGAAAGCATAACTTTTTATATTTATCTGCTTGTTTACCTTCCTCTGTGCTCTTTCTTCCTTCTTATAGATGCAGCTTTCCGTCTGGCATGATTTTCCTCTAGTAAGGCTATTCTTTGCTGTTTCTTGTACTATAGGTACTCTGGCATCAAATTCTTTCAGCCATTGTTAGTCTAAAACTATATTTAGTTGAACACTTTTATTTTGAAGAACATTTTTTTGGCTGACTATTTTCTTTTAATTTTTTAATGTTTTTGTATTTATTTCTGACAGAGACAGTATGATCAGGGGGAGGGTCAGAGAGAGAGGGAGATACAGAATCTGAAGCAGACTTCAGGCTCTGAGCTGTCAGCACAGAGCCTGATGTGGGACTCAAAACCATGAACCGTGAGATTATGACCTGAGCTGAAGTCGGACGCTTAACTGACTGAGCCACCCAGGTGCCCCTTGGCTGACTGTTTAGATCTTACTTAGATGATTGAGTTTTTAACTTTACATATGTTGTTTACTGCCTTCTAGTCTTTATTATTTTATCAATAAATTAGTGATCACTTTTATCAATACACCTCTATATGCAATATGTCTTTTTTATTTGGTTGCTTTTAAGACTTTCCTTGCATCATTTATTTTAGTGATTTGATTCTGATATTGCCAGATGTGATTTGCTTTACATTTACATTTTTTCTGTGTGTAGTTTACTGAATTTATTGGATCAGTAAGTAGGTGTTTTTCATTATTTATGTGACTTTGGAGCCATCATTCCTTAAATGTGTTTTTCTTCCCTGATCATATGCTCTTTTCTTCGTTAAGACTTTGCTTGTCTTCAGTATTTCTTTTCCTCTGTGTTTTTCAGATTAGATAATTTAAACTTATCTATATTCAGGTTCAATGATCCTTTCTTCTGTTGTTTCCAACTTTATTTTGTGTTTTGCTGGTAAAATTTTTATTTTGGTTATTTTATTTCCCAGTACTGGAATTTTTATTGTACATTATATTTCACAACTTTGCTCAAATGCACTTTCTATCAGCTCACTAGGTGATATTTTTCTTTAACTCAATGAACATATTTCCTTTAATTTTTGTACCTATTTATAATTGCTACCGTAAAGTCTTTGTCTTTTACATCTAACATTTGGATCATCTTATTTTGACAATTTTTTATTGACTGATTTTTAATAATTTTTCACAGATCATAAATACTTTTTTCTGTGTGTATGTGTGTTATGTGCTTGTGTGTGTGTGTGTGTGTGTGTGTGTGTGTGTGTGTGTGTACGTATGTTTCTAATAGTTTTTGATAGGATACTAGACTTTGGGAATATATGTCATAGATTCTTTGGATTCTGTTATCTTCCACTGAGAAGTTTCAATTTGTATTTTGTCAAGAAGTTCAATTACTGGATCATCACCACCATGAAAGCTTGTTAAGGATTGGTTTTGTGCTTTCTTAGTGCTGATCCATGAAAAATCAAAGGTTGAAATCACTCAACCTTCACACTCTCTCCCGTCTAGAAATCTTACCAAAGCTTGCATTTTATTAGGGAAAATCATAAAAATGTGATAGTTTAGAGCATGGGGATTATTTCTAAGACATTTACTTTCTGGGGTTCAAGTTAGAATCCATAATTATTATTAGATGTTAATAAGATATCTCTACTCTGGCTTGGCCAGAATTACAATATTCCCCAGTATTTATTTTCCCTCCACACCATTCTACACCTGGAATCTCTAATTCACTCTCAATACATAGAAGCAGGTAATCCTAAAGTTGTGCCCTCCTGTGAATGTGCAACTCTGGCCCCAACTATGGTTTGTGATCAACTCCAAACAAACACTGCGGCTCCAATTCTGTGTAGCTCCCTGCTCTACCTAGAGTCCCAGACATTTGATGTTTCTTTAATCCTAATTTTAGTCACTTCAGTTTAGTAGGAAAATTTTGTTCTCCTTTAACTTCAGACTTCTGTGGTATTTTCAGGAAATTGTCCTCATGTGGAGAGCTCATGGATTAAGTGATTATCTCTCAAACTTCTCTATCGGAGATCATAATCTTGCTCTATTCTTCACAGTCTGAAAACCATTATCTCTTATATTTTGCCCCAGTTTTATACATGTTTGTGTTTGGAGAAATTAATGTGGTGCAAATTTCTTTACCATTCAACAGCTTTAGATGGAATTTGTTATTGGCTCAAATTTAAGTGCCAAAACTATTGCTCTTGGTACTATAGGATATTTAGCTCTTAAATTGAACAAAAGATTGTTAACTGCTGCAGAGCCATGCAGTAATTAGAGCTACAAGGCAGATTTTATTCAGATTTTATTGCAATAGGAGAAAAAAATACCTCAGTATAGAACTAGACTCAATTCTAAAAGCAACAAGAAGTAGGCAGTAACCAAAAGGCAGGATGAAAAAGTGAGTGGATGGAAAATGACTATTAAGAAGAGAATCTAGGGCGCCTGAGTGGCTTAGTTGGTTAAGCTTCTGACTTTGTCTCAGGTCATGATCTCATGGTTTGTGAGTTCGAGTCCTGCATAGGGCTCTGTGTTGACAGCTCAGAGACTGGAGCCTGCTTCAGATTCTTTGTCTCCCTCTCTGCCCCTCCCACACTCGTGCTCTGTCTCCCTCTGTCTCTCAAAAATAAACGAACATTAAAAAAAAGAAAAAGAGTAGGAGAATCTTTGCTCAAGGAAGGCCAGGTAACAAGATATCAAGAGTGAGAGTTTGAGAGTTTGATCAACAACACGAGTGATCAGACATCAAGAATGGAGGATTCTCCCCAAAGTGGCTTGGCAGGATTCTTGCTACACCTATGCAGGCTCAGCAAGGATAGGGGTCAAGGTCAAGGGCTAGTTGAGAAGAGAGTTCAGAGGAGACTGGCTGAAGTTTGGTAAAGGGGAGAGTCTTTGGGTCTAGACTTTAGAAATGTGTTACAAGCTTAATCATTACTCTATTACTTTTATTATGTCCATTATTTTGTTACTGCTGCTTTAATAGTTTTGAAACAGAGTTGTAGCTAAAAATTGAAGAATATATTTAATGCTGTACTTTCTTTTTCTGTAAAAGCATGTTAACACCACAATACATTAGAAAATCAATGTATTCTCAGAATTAAAGTAATGCAATACTTCACAAGCATTCTGAACTTCTCAAAACATAAAGTAACCCTAAGAAATTGAAAATGTTCTTGGGCGGTGTGGCACCTGGGTGGCTCAGTCAGTTGAACATTGAACTTCAGCTCAGGACAAGGTCTCACCATTTGTAAGTTCAATTCCCATATCAGGCTCATTGCTGTGTGCGCAGAGCCACTTTGGATCCTCTATCCCCCATTCTCTCTCCGTCCCTCCCCAACTTGCACTCTCTCTCTCAGAAATAAATAAACATTACAAATATAATAGCTTCTTGGATCGCCTGTGTGGCTTAGTCGGTTAAGTATCAGCCTAGGTCATGATCTCACGGTTTTTGAGTTCAAGGCCCATATTAGGCCCTATGCTGACAGTGCAGAGCCTGCTTGAGATTCTATCTCTTTCTTCTCTTTGTCCTCACCTGACTTGAGCTTTCTCTGCCTCTCAAAATAAATAATAAAAATAAACTTAAAAAACAAAAGCTTTCTGTCAGTTACTATAATAAATATTTGCCAATTCAGCAATTTATTTATTTTTTTTAATAAATCCTAAATCAGATTCTTTCTTCAAGCAAGAATGGTAAACATTGTAAGTGGTTAAAATATTGTCTTTAGAGTCATAGGGACCAAGTTTGAAATCCTTTGTCTGACAAGTGTTTCTAAAGACATAAATCACCATTTTAGAAAATTTTCTCAACCATTCTAAGTATCGTATGTAAAGATAGTTAACACATGCTTTCTATGATTCTGGTAAAGGTTATAACATAATTTTTCAAAAAATTACCACACTACCTAGTTGCTACTAAAAATTCAATATATGTTGATTTATTAAGTTTAAGATTTGATGACATTATTTGACAATGTTAAAATACATGTACTCTAAACTTCTAAAGGATCATTGTAATGTAGAATTTTATTACTGCTTCACGTCTGTGTCTGTGGAAGAAAAAATAAAGAGACAATATAATCCGAATCCAGATATAGTAGAGTTTATTTACAGAATGATTAAACACTGAAAGACTAACTTGTCATCAAGTCTTCCTCCAGAGACGATTTACATTAAAAGATATTCCTCTGTCTGGAAAGATTTATGCCTGCATTTTTAGCTAGATGCCTGGATCAGTTCTTTCTGCTTCATGTGCAATATATCTGGTATCCTATCTGAGTGATGATGAGTAGGGGTGTGGAGGAGGGTGGATCTGGGCTGTATGCTGTGCTGGAGAGGCAGAAGTTGGCTAGAAAATAAAGGAGCATACCAAAAATAATTAAGCCCAAAGGAGTAGAAACACGTTTAGAAACTAGCAACTGAAAATAAGTTCTAAGGAAAATGAGGGCTAGAAAAATCCCCGGAGGCAATGTTACAAGGTCTAGATTTGGAGTAGAGAACTTTTTATATAAAATGCCAGTGGAAGAGCTCTTGGTCAGGCAGATGGTTGTTAAGGGCCTTGAGCTAGTCAGGCAAGTTAAACATGTGTTAGTGTTAGTAAAAGGGTATAGGAATTAGAACGACAGGGTATTGAGAAATGTTTCACTCACCACTTAACAAGAGCCTTTAAAGAACAGGGAACAGTTGTGAAGTTCAACTTTGAGGGTCTATGAAAAGAAATGCATCAAAGGGATGCATTTGTGTCTGAGTCAAACTAATAAGAAAGAAATTTCCCTGTTATTAACTGACAAGACTGAAATCAAGAAGAAAGCATTGACATTGATTAAGTGTATTCCATTTTATAGTAATTTATAGTTTGGTTTTTAAAAAAGTAGGTTAGTTTGTTTTTTGTTTTAAAATTTCAATTGTGTACCTAAATATCTCCATGGCTCTAAATTAGAGAGTTAATAAATGGGCTTCTCCTTTGAATTCCAGCCCTGCTGTTCATGTTAATGTAGATTTCTATTCTGTCACTTATATTAATTTAACTTAATTAAAGCAGTTTTGTTAACATATAATCTATAAACAGACACCAAAAAACTTGGACATTTGAATATATAAAATTTGATGAGTTTGAAGATATATAAACACCCTTGAAAACATCACTCCAATATATCTATCACCTCCAAAAATATTCTCCTTCCCATTTGGACTTTTTGTTTGTTTTTTGTTGTTTTTATTATTGTGTGGTAAGAATATGGAACATGAGATCTAGCCTCTTAATAATTTTTCTAGTGTACAGTACTGAACTGTTAACTATAGTTTTGTTGTGAAATAGATCTCTAGAGTTTCTTCATCTTGCATAACCGAAACTTCATACCTTCTGAACAACTCTCCATTTCAATTTACCCCCAGGCACTCACGACCATCATTCTACTCTTTGTTTCTATGAGTTGGATAATTGTTAGATACCTCATATAGTGAATCATTCAGTATTTATCATTTTGTGACAGGCTTATTTCACTTATCATAAGGTCTTCCAGTTTTATCCATGTTTTTGCATAAGGCAGGAATTCTTTCTTTTTATGGCTAAATAATATTCCATTATATGTAAATACCACCTTTTACCCATTCATCAGTGGGTGGAAATTTAAACTGCTTCCATATTTTCGCTGTTATGAATAATCCTGTAATGAACATGGAGGTGCAAATATATCTTCAATAATTTGATATCACTTTTGTTTTCAGATAAATACCCAAAAGTGGAATTGTTGGATTATACGGTAGTTTTATTTATTTATTTATTTATTTATTTATTTATTTATTACAAATAGTTTATTGTCAAGTTGGTTTCCATATAACACCCAGTGCTCATCCCCACAAGACGGTAGTTTTATTTTTAATTTTTGGAGAAACCTCCATCTGGTTTTCCATAGTGGCTGCTCTATTTTACATTCCCACCAATCTTTATGACAGTTCCCAGGTCTCTACATCCTCGCCTAAGTGTGTTATGATTTGTTTTTTATTTATTTGTTAGTTTTTTGATAACAACCATTTATTTGGCCAGTTTTAATTGTTATTTGATTTTTTGCTATTGAGTTGTAGAAGTTCCTTATGTATTTTAGGTATTAGCCCCTTATCAGATATATTAACTAGTAGCTTCATATATCTTGACATATCTCCTACTACTCTCTCTAATGCCTCCATTTTCTTATCCACCCCTCATAAGCAGTTGCCTTTCTTATTTCCTCCTATAAAGTCCCTGAACACAATCAATTATGTTTTTCTCAGTTTTGTTTTAAAACACCAAAGCAAGGTTTATATATGTTTTTCTTGTTGTTGTGCTTTATTTATCTTCTTTTAGTTTTTCCCAGACAATTTCTGCTTTAGGCATGATTATATAGTCCAGCCTGAGGCAAAGAAAGAAACCATTGTGATAAAAGAGAAGGAAAAAATGCATAAAAGCAGAATGTAAGTCAGTATCTCAGCATTGTCCTGGACTTCATATTTATTTTGGTTTCCTTTATAGTAGGAAGACCATTTTGACTCAAACTAGCAAAGGCTTTTCTTAATACCTAGTAGACTCTGTTGACCTAAGAACCTAGATCTTTCTTTACTTTTCGTTTGATTGTTTAATTTCTTCTCTAGGTCCTTTTTTTCCCCCTCTGCATTTGTATTTGAATATATTAGATCAGCGGTGAATTACCTCCACATTCCTTGCTCTTTTCTTCCTGACAAAATCTTATTGGTTTTTTTCTTTTAGTTTTTTAGGGGATTCTTCAAGATGGATTTTTACTTCACTGATTCAATTTTACTCTTTCTGCTATTTATTACCTCCTGCTAAGTGACTTTTTTTAATTTGGTAATGACAATTAAAAAAGTTAATATTTGTCTAGAATTTTGAATAAGTTCATTGGCATCTTAAACCTTGTTAAGATTGTAAAAAGAGCATTTTGAAAACCTTTCTCATGCTTATCAGAGTGTTTCTCTAAGAGGTGAACATTCATTTATTCATCTTTATGTAAATCTCCTTCTTTAGAATATTTATATATACTTGATTTTTTTTTTTTTTTTTTTGCTTATTCTTTCAGGAAGGTATCTGTTTGCTCCTTATTATGACTAAGACCATCCTATTAGGATTTTTATGGGTACAGTTTAAAATTTTAGTATTAGACAAAAAAGGAAAAGAAAGGATGATATTGTTTGCATTCTTGTGTTCTTAACTGAGAACTGTGTTTTTCACAGAAAACACCAAGAGAGAGAGGGCTCCGTAGAGAAGAATGCGGGATGGGGGAACAGGTACCACCATGGGGATTTGATAGATGCATTATCAGCTTGAGGCAACATTCTTCTCAACTTGGAGTT